ACTATATGTGTTTACCGTTGAGATTCTTTGATTTTTGTCTTACTAAACTCTGTTCGTATTCTTGCTAAACATGCTTCATCTGCTTTTGTTTAAGTTTGTATCATCTCTTTCTTCTGAACTCGTTTAAGGTCCGAGTTTTCTCAAATATGTTCTTCATGATCTTGAATCAGCTTTCTTACTTTGTTGTTCAAACATGCTCTCATATCTGTTTTGTTGAGGCTCTGAAACAAACCTTTGAGTCTGTTTCAATGGCTTGCTTTCTCACCTTTATGTCTGATTCAAGTTGAAACCCTAGGATTTGGGGGTTCCCCTTGGCGATTTTGATTTTGTGTTCGAGTTAGGGTTCCACTTTGGGACCCTGGACTCTCAGACTCATTGTGAGTCTGCAATTGGACTCGTATCCTCTTGCTTATGATTCTGAACCTTTCAATGCTAGAACTATTTTTCTAAGTAACATGACGATTCTTTTGTTTGATTTGTCTGCTTTATATATGAGAAGTTCTTCTTTCAAAAGGGTTTTTGCCAACTACTAATTGATTTCGAATTCCTTTAATAGTGTTTACTTGATTGTTACTGATTTCCTTTAAATTAAACCTTTCTTTACCCCTTTCCTGACTTGATTCATTCGAGTAAAAGCCTGTAACTTTGATTTTACTAGTTGTCTGATTGATTCCCTTTCCTTATTTCACACAAACCGTGTACCATTGGGCTGTTGCCTTAAATAACTGCTATGTATTTACCCTTTATTGTACTGCCTGGAAAATATTTTTTCAAATCCCTTTCCTTAATTGTTTTTACCCGTTTGAAATCAGAATCCCTTAACTAAAGGGAGATTGATTACAATGTTACTTCCTTACCTTGTTCTTACTGGTTTGTTGCACTATAAAAGGGGCTCGACCCTTCAGCACTAAAACAACTTTGAACTTTTGAATCCTAAGTTCAATACTCATACTCTCACACGCATACTCTCAATCACAATACTCTTTCAATTCTCTACTCTCTTCTGAGACTTTTGTACTGCTTTGCTTGCAACTTGGCTTTTCAAGACTGCTGTTTTACTTATTTGTTTTCCCTGAAACTGGTATGTCTCGATTTTGATTTCAGCTTCTTCCCTATGTGTTTATTTTACAGTCACTACACTCTTGCCTACTTTGCTGCTCATGTTCTGTATTAAATATGTTACTTTCTTTTATGTTTACTGTTTGTTATAAATTCCCCATACCCCCATTCCCTTCTATGTGCTGAGTTAAAGTTCATGGCCTGGCAGTATCCAAATTACTGCCCAGGTCTGAACCTGACCTTCAATGGGTCCTAACTCCCAAATCTAGCTAACAGGCTGGTCAGGGGTGTGCCAGCATTCCTAATTGCTGGGCATGACCACTAGCCTGTCATGGCCTTCCCTAACTCCCCCTCTATTGCACTTACACTTACTCTTAGACTCTAAGTTCTGCCCCCCTCCTATGAGCCTTGCCTTGGGGACCTTGAGTTCCCTCTGAACTTGGACATTTGAGGGCTGGCTCTTCCACACTGCACTATAATCTGATCCTGCAATGTATTTGGGTGTAAGCACTGCCTGGAGTTCATGAAGCTCCTTGGAACTTTGACACACCCAAAGATGAGAAAGGCTTTGGAAATCTGATCTTTGGAAGTTGGTTTATTTCATGTTTCAGACTAGGAGTCTAAATTAGGCTCTCCTTGGTTGGAATTTTTTCTGATGTAATTTTCTTTACTTTTTTCTGGATTCATTCAAGTTGTAATAATCTTGTAATAACTTATGGGGTGTATAGTAAAAATGGGGGAGGGTCACTCATGTTATGCATATGGGGTAGATATCATGTTTTAGGTCTTTACTTCTGCAATCACAACCTTTTCGTTTATGTATCTGCATATAGAGATCCTGCCTATAAGTTGTTTCATTACTGCATATAGAGATCCTGCCTATAAGTTGTTTCATTACTGCATATAGAAATCCTGCCTATAAGTTATGCATTTCGTTAGAAATCATGTATATAAGTTTCTGCATTCCTACATTAGAGACCATGTCTATAAGTTTCTGCATTCCCACATTAGAGACCATGCCTATAAGTGTCTGCATTTCCGCATATAGAAGTCATGCCTATAAGTTTCTGCACTTCTGCATATGCATATGTCACTAGGCAAACAATCTATGGGTTAAAGAATAGTCAATCGCATCCTAGATACCATGCTTATAGGATTCCTGCACTTACGTAACCGTTTTAAAAATCAGTAACGCTTAGAATTCATGCCTATAGGAGCAATCGTTTAAATCTGATTCATCCGCGAGTCTAAAATCAGTAATAATGTCGTTTAGTATCTGCAGAATTGGTTTATTTCTAAAATCAGTAATCCTTCCTTAAAATCAGTATGCTTTACCTTGTTAGATATCATGCCTATAGGTCTCACCTAGGCAAACCATTAGGTAACTAATTAACTATACCAGTCTTTAATAATTACAACCAGCAGGCAGGCCTAATTTGGACTTCTTATCTGAAAATATGTGATAAATCAGCCACCCCTTTAACGTTTAAGTTTAATTAAGGACCTAACCAGTACCTGTAAGTCATGCTAAACAATTCGTTGCTTTGAATGAGGAGGCCTATTTGAGCCTTTAACTGTTATGTGTTTCCCCTTTTATTGCTTTTATGTGTTTTGTTTGTCGCACTAGACTTTTGTCCTTTTAAAACTCTGAAAAGCCAATATCCTTCCCTTTAGGATTAGTAGTCCCAACTTCCTCCGGGACTGATAGGATTGGGGCGGGTAATAGCATGCAATAGGTAACGAGACCATTCCGCGATTTAATACCTTAACGGGGTGGGTAAGGGTAGACATGGATATGGTGACCACGCGATAACACCATGTGTATAAATGGTTACCGGGTGTTGTGTGGGGTGATCCATGTTATGTATAAACCTAGGACCCCCTCCCTCTTTATTTGTTTACTTTCTTTTCTTTCTAGAACTTTTTTTTAGAAAAGCTGTTAATTTTTCAGTTCTCTAAACTTCTTCTTTTACTTCAGTCACTAAAAAATCTCTTTTAATTATTTGATTTCCAGCACTGTTTCTTCTCCAAACCTCCGCCTCTTTTATTCCCTTTGTTTGATTATTTGTACCAATTATTTGACCCCCTTTTCCTGCACTTGTATATCCCTTAAATAATTATGAAATCGCCTATCTCCGAACTTCAGCATGTTTATTTAACTTTTATACTTCCCTTGTTTGCGATCGTTATGTGAAAGCGGTCTTGTATGTTTACTTGTTGTTTATATTTATAGTCACAATTATAGCATGGCCGGGAACCACACTAGTGGATCTTTGGGGGGGGGGTGCCTAACACCTTCCCCCCGAGATAATTTCAAGCCCTTACCCATTCTCTGGTTCTTTTTATTTTTATTTTTTTATTCTTAGTGTCCTAATGCACTCAATTATTAGGTGGCGACTCTTCTAAATTGCAAACCCGATTCCCAAAAGGAAAAGAGTTGTCCGCTCAAATGTTATAAACCCGATTTCGCGAGAAAAAGGTGGCATCGATAGCATGGCGACTCTGCTGGGGATTTCTTTAAGGCTTTTACCATTTTCATGCTATTTGTGACTTTATGCTTCTTTATATGCCTTTATTTGTTTAAATGCCTTTAAATATTTTTTCCTTCCTCCACTACGAAACTGACTTGGCTCTTTATTTCTTTTTTTTTTTGTTTCCTTTACCGCTTTCTTTCAATAATGTTGTAAATTATGAGAAACTGTTGTAATTATTGTTTTATGAACGTGAAAGTACATGACAACTTTTTAATTATTGTAATTGCATTCTTCAACATCATATTCTACTCGTGCCAAACAAAATACCATAGCAACGCTTATAATGAGTGGTTTCACCCTTCCAATATTATCACCCCCTAAATCCGGCAAAGGCATATTTGCGGTAAAACCAGTCGATCAACGGTGTAGTCGACGGTTCCGCGCCTTTCCCTCTTGAGTTGTCCGCTCAAGGGTACCAGTCTAATACCCCATAGAAACCATTTCTCTTTAAATTATGCATGCATCATGGTCAAACTTAGCCGAGTCAGTTATGTTGTCCGCATAATGACTCTATAAGATAGCCTCGTCCAAAGTCCACTGGGTTTCTTTGAAACCCAAACGGACACTACCACGTTCTGTGCATTCATTTCGAAAACTAAATGCTTGTTATGCCAATTATTGATGTTAAAATAGTCGAGTCTGGTGGGGGAAAAGGGCATAACCTTTTGTTTTGCAGAAAATGAGGCACGAAGTCCCCAGATTCGGCATGGTCACCAACATCCACGCCAAATTGCTGAATTGGTGGGGAGATCTTCATTCCAGCGATCAAGCTCTTGTCAGGAAGCACTACAAGATAAATGGCCTTTAAGGAAGGGAAATCCGGTCCCTAAAAGTAAAAATCTGGTCCTAAAAAGGTTAATTACGAAGGGAAAAGGATGGTCGTAACCCGTCGTAATAGCCTCCGTCGCTAAATGTCAATAACGACGGGTCTTAATACCTGGTCGTTAAATCACTTTAGCGACGGACAGAAAAACTGGTCGTGAAATACTTTTAAAGACCACATTTCTCGTCCCTAGTAGGCGATGAAAAAAAAATTATTCCCATCGTGAAATCTCTTTAGCGACCAACTGTATCTGGTCCTAAATTTCCTTTTAGAGACGGACAGAAAACCTGATCGTGAATAACATTTAAAGACTACATTTGTCGTCCCTAATAGACGATAAAAAATATATATATTCCCTTCGTTAAATTTTTTTAGCGACCAACGCCAACTGGTCCTAAATTATCTATTAGAGACCGACAAAACATCTGGTCGTTAAATCATTTTCGCGACCAACCTTTAACTGGTCCTAGATTATTTTTAGAGACGACGTCCCTATTTAAAATAATTTTGTAATTTAGCGAAATATTCATGGTCTATTAATAACCATGAGTAGTCCTAAAAGCTCAATGCAACAAAAAGTAATTTTTATCAATAAATATCAAATTGGTATTGAAAAATCCAGATATAAAAAGATAATATATCAAGTTCATATCCCATGATGATGTTACTTTCTATGTTTTCTCAACACCTCAACAAAAAAAACGTAGCTAACATCCTGAGGTAGACTATGATATCAAGTTTTGCATAACATTTTTAGCAAAATAATAATAGCTTGTGCATCTTCTAAACTTGTATCTTGACTTGTAGCTTCAATCTTCAAAACCTGTAAGTACAAAAGTTTTTAAAATAATAAATAACTATTGGTAAAATAACATATATAATTTTATATGAGCAATAGTTAAATCGCTTACCCCAAAAGCAGTCTAAATTCACAAGGTGTTATCCAACAACATCAACAAGGCTACAACAATATTAAAAAAAATTAATTAGAGAAGCTTTGGGATGGATTTAATTTTTCCATCAGTAATAACGCGCACCAAAAGAAATTCAAAATTTAAAAACTAAGTTGAAATTAATAAATGAAAAAATGAAAAGAAAAAAAACAAAAAAAAAAAGAACTTGAAGAAAATGAAGCATAAAGAAGGGCACGCAAGCGTGGAAGCAGTGTAAGAAAAAAGAGTAAGGAGGTGGGGTATATTGTTACTAACTTGGTCAGCAGACAAAATCAGAGGTCATTTAGTTGAAACGGGCGATGTCGTTGTAAGCGGGACATGTGATTGTTGAGCAGCAAAGTACTCTCTCATTTTCCTCATTTCTTTCATCTCATCTTCTAAGGTAGACAAGCGCTCATTCAAGGATTTATTTTCCTCATTCAAAGATTTATTTTCTTCTCGAGTTGAACGTAGCTCGGACAGTAATTGAGCCTTTGAAGAAGTTCCACCTTTCAAGTCTTTCGCCTTCACTCCACCCCCAAAGCCAAACACATGGCTACGAGTTTGAGGTCCACAACATTTTTCTACAATCTCTATGCTAGGTAGAGATGGATCTTCTTGAATTATTTCTTCGATTTGAGCCTACAAAATATATAAAAAATATTTAAAATCAGAATCCACCATAATTTCAAGTAATTTACATATTCAATTTTCCAAACATACATGTTTTTCAATTGCTTCAGGTTCAACAAGCTTGTTGTTTTTCTTACGGGTCTCAAAGAAAATTATTGCCAAATCCGGTGGGTTGCCATCTTTTCCGCCCTTTACATCATCAAAGGCAAACATGTCAAAGAATAGCTCGTAAATATTTTCTTAGGAAAATAGAAATTTTATGATAATACCTTTTGATAAATGATCTCACGAATAGGCTTACTACCAATATGATGAAGCATCTTCAACTTAACTCGATTTGCCGCATTCCTGTTGATTCTCGCCTATATTTGTGAAACATTAAGATTAAATGTAAGAAATTTAATAAACTTAAACATAAGTTGCTTCTAAAAAGCTTAAACTCAAACTTAGCCTCTAGGAATATCAACCTGAGCAGAGATCCAACTATCTCTTTGCCAATTGTTCAGTGTCAATGACTTGAGTTATTCTTATCTCACATAAAGCATAATTTGTTGAAAGGGAGGACTGAAAATCAACTAATAAAAAAGGTCAAGTTATTTTCTCCCTAGTGACTAAGGTAACAATTGGTCACTTAAAAGTACCTGCAATATGATTTACAGATCTCCTACTGTTCATCTTGTACTTGAAACAATCCAACAACTTAGCCAATAGTAGCTAAATTTTTATTTTAATTTATAATGCTTCACAATTACTCTCCAGTCTTCTACGCAATTCCAGCATTTTGTTCAATAATGACGCCTCGATGTAGTAGCACTTTAATTCATGAATTTAAATCACACTTTTCATCTCTAATTGAAAAAAGGATAACTTATAAGAACAAAAGTTGTTTTATGCTTTCATTGCTACATAAAAACCAAGACTTAAACACCTCAAAAGCACATATAAGACTAATAAAAAAGGCAAGCTTGATTTTTAATAGGACCAACAATGGTGCCGAATTGAATGTAAACAGCAAAGGCAGGCTTCATCATCAAGATCCATGGCATAGAGACGTTGAACGTTCATGAAGATTTAGCAAAGGACAACGGAAAAGTGCAGCAGGCCAAAGGACAACGCAGGCCCATGATTCTTCTGATTTAGATTCTCAAGCAAATGGGACAGGTTTTAGTTTCATAGTTCGAATTCATTCTGTTGATCTAACTTTTCCATTTTCCCTGTTATGGTGTATGGGAGGTTGATAGATTGATGGAGGTTTTGCCTGAGGAGATAGTAGTATATATTCTGGACAATATTAAACCCCCAGCTTCTATTGATGTGCTAGACAAACCATACTGGATGTTGAAATCAAGAGGGGATTTTACTGTGAAATCTGCTTGGGCGTATTTGAGGAAAAGAAATGATCCTGCTATGTCATATAGTAAAATGTGGGTAAAGGGACTGCCCTTTAAAATCTCTTTCTTCTTGTGGAAGGTTTGGAAAGCAAAGCTGCCTCTAGATGATTGGATGAGACGATTGTGATATTTTATGCCGTCGAAATGTTGGTGTTGTGTTCAAGAGCAAGAATCTCTGCCTCATCTGTTCTTTACGTCTGTTGCAGCTACAAAGGTATGGACATATTTCCTTAATAATGCAGGAATAAGCATGGAAGGTTTGACACTAGACCAGGCAATTGTTAAATGCTGGACAGCAAAGGTTATACCACGACTGCAGCCTATTCTACAAGCATTACCAGCGATCATCGTGTGGGAGCTTTGGAAAAGAAGGAACAGTCAGAAATATGGTGAGGTGGTGACTGTTAGTCGAGTTATATATCAAGTTTCTACTACCTTACAGTCTCTTGTCAAAGTAAGGAAGCCTGCTATGCAAAATGTACCTCACAATTGGCCTGACTTGATACAAAAACTGGAGCAAAATACTCCAACTTTGAAGGTAACAAAAGTCATATGGGAACTACCTACCGAAGGATGGATCAAGCTCAACACAGATGGTGCGAGTAGGGGAAATCCTGGAAGGAGCTCTAAAGGATATGTGCTGAGAGATGAGGAAGGAGATGTAATTTTTGCATTGGGAAAGGAGATACCACAGAATACAAATAATGAGGCAGAAGCTATTGCAATTTTGGAGGCTTTGAGATATTGTGTTGACCATAGCATACCAAATATTATACTGCAAACAGATTCTATGCTTTTAAAGAATGTATTAGAAGGAAAGTGGGTAGCCCCTTGAAATGTGAATGAGTATGTTGAGGAGATCAAAATGTTGATGGAGGGATGCAATGTTCGAATCTCACACATTATGAGGGAAGGAAATTGTCTAGCAGACCACCTAGCTACTCATGCTTTTGATAGTGGGGATATTGAGGCTCACGGTTTTGCAGTCCACCTAGCTAATCATGCTTTGGATAGTGGAAATATACATGATTTGAACTGCAGAACATGGAACAATTCGTCATCCACATCATCTACAACACATATGGATCACATGGCAGGAGGAATTTCATACGATCACCAAAGAATCATTATTGGAAACTGGACGCTAATGTGCCTAATCAACTGGTGCAGGGCAATAATCCATATCTGGATTCCTATTGTAGTAGCAACGAAGGAATACAGCTTCAACAGGCACAAGAGGACCACGAATACAATGGAGATGGCTTACACAAACGCTGAGAATTCATTTTCCATAGGCAATGATGCCAAACAAATGGTAGTAAATGCAGAATATGAATATTTCTGTAATAGGCTAGTTTTTATACAAGTTTTAGACATTAATTTTCATTTTAATATTAGATCACTTTGTACTATCAATTTTGGGATTCACAAGCCCAAAATTGATAATAGGGCATATGTAGTTAACATATATTATCGTCTTACTAGTTGTAAGACAACATGATACTTTGTTTTATTATTTTATTATTTATATAAAAACTAGCCCTAGGCACCTTGCCTAGTGGTTTTGCTAAAAAAAAAACTACACATCGAAACACATAATTCGATAACTCAAATAGATTATTAAATCACTAGGCATACCTGAAAACCTTCTGAAGAAAAATATTCCTTTACTAACCACTCTCATTCTTTCTTGTCTACTCCGTTTGGAATATTCTTAAGAGCCTGTTGGATTGGCTTATCTTTCACATATTTTGCATGCAAGTGTTCTCTCCATTTATTCCATAACTCTTTCATCCATGCGAAGATATGATCACGATGATCATTCATGTCAACACTCTCAAATTTATCCTACAATAATCAAAACATGGGTTGAGTTAATGAATCTAGTCAAGTTTTAGTAACTACTCATAATCATGTGATAGGAGCAACTCTCCAACAGTTATACAATAATTAACATATAATATAGTTTCAACTGTTTCTCTACAGCAAGTAACAGTTGAATCAGTAATATTCTCCAAAAATTATACAGATAAGCACAAGCATGAAGGATGAGTGCATGATTTGGGATATTGTACTATTGCAGCCCCTCATTATCTCCCTAATTTCCTCCACATTTCAGGTGTACGTGAATGATCAGTTCCTCAACTGGGATCCAAACAATCGTATCAAAGTTAGAATTGTATCTGCCAGAGCTTATCACTCCTTGTTCATGCACAACATGTAAGAAACTGATCATGATCCTTTTTCATAACTCTGTTTTACATTCTTATGTGTTATAGCTCATCAGATAAGTATCCTCTACTTCTACAATTTTACTGATTTAGATTTTACAACAACTAAAGAGCTAGTCATAGTTAATAAAAGGAATACAAAAGATATAAAGTAAAACATGTTAGTGAGTGCAATGGAATAACAGGGTCGGTGACAGGTGTATCCGACCCACTGCTGAAGAGCTGGAGGAATTACTCCAATTTCACCATAAAGGTAACAATGTTCTTAGAGCTCTCCAAATATTTTTAGAAAGTGTGTTCCAATGCCAGGATTTTATGAAAGTACATCCTCTCTTCTTTCATTTGAGCGGTGTACAAATATAGGACCTAAATCTGATTCATTCCACATCAAATTAGTGTGCTCAGATCAAAATTCAGGTCGATGTAATTGAATCTGATATAGTGCTTGTGTCTTTTGGGAAGGCTGAAAATGGAGTAGAACTAAGTTTATTTGGGAAAGCATGAAGCTCTTTTTTCTTGCGCTATTAGTGAAGTGAAGCAACATGATTTATTTTCAATTGTTACATCTTGTTTGTGTGTCTCTATAAACATTCTAGGAGATTGAAGAGTGGCAGAGATATTCTTCTATTTGTTTACAATGTCTTTTGTTTCGTCCAAGCTGGTCTACTGATAAATAATGTCTGTTAACCATATCCTGCTTAACAGAGCTTCGCATTTTCAGTTGGTTCCCCGTACTAATGGCAAAAATTCTTCTTTCTGAAATTTGTAAGCACTAAATTTGCAGGTATATTCGGAAAGGGATAGGGATGTTTGTGGATGTCGGGAAAGGTGATACTTCTCCCCCTTTCAACCAGGTTCTGGAGCAACTATTGGCCAAGGGGGAGTACTTGGCATTTGCACCTAATACAACTGAGACAAGGATGATGATCAACATTTTGTCTCTAAAATTTCCCCTACTGAGGGTAAATTCTTTGATTTACCTTTTACTGATGTTTCTTCGCGTTTTGTTTTCTCTAAATGTTGAAATCAGGTCTTATTTTCTCTTCTCATGAAAATTTTCAAAGTATTATGGTGATGGTACCCATCAGTGATCACTTGTCAATGAATGCGTTTGTAATATGGGGAAGCACATAATAACTCCAACTAGAGTTCATTCTTCTCTTATATTTTGTCTTCAGGTGTAAATGTGTATTCATGAGAAGTCAATGGTTCCAATCCTTTGCTTTCCAGCAGCAAACTAAACGCAAAAGCACCAGTTTTTGTGCCTAAAACTGGACAGCAACAATGTGGAACGACTACAGCAGGTGATTCTCTAAGAAAAAATGCAAAACCAAGTAGGCCCAAGCAACAGGGGAATACTACAATCACACAAGTTGTTACCTGTGTGGACGAACAAAATATAGCAACCACATTGAACTCAGCAATATCATAGCAAATTAGAACACATTCAAACAAACAAAAGCGCAACATAAAACATTGAGATATACAACTAGGATTGCAATTGTCCAAGCAAACAGAATACCAAACTAGACGCAAACAAGACTGCTAGTTATAGGGATTAGTTAATCCATGGCGAAGGCAGAAACACACATCAACGAAGTAAAAGAAGGCAATTAAAATCTGCCGCTGAGGATACGGAATCGCAATTTTATATAAACTTCTGAAAATTACATTATCAAACTAGGAATCCCAACCCAATAATCTTTTCACTGATTTTGTAAAAGAAAAAAATACCAAAATATGAAACCTTACCAAATTTTTGACGTTAGAGAAGAAAATGAAGAGCGAAGAACTCGAATAAGCGAATCAATAAGCGAAAAGAGAAACTCGAAAGAGCGGCATACCACGGATTCTCAACGAGCGAGATGAAACTTGGAAATATTCACACAACACCAGGGCTGAGCTTCGACTTGTGTTGAAATCAGGTTAAAGACTGAGCTCTGTTAAAGGCGACGGGCAGAGCTTGGCGGAAACTAGGGCTGAGCTTCGACTTGTGTTCCAGAATACAGAGAGTTTCGCGGATTCTCAACGAGCGAGATGGAAACTTGGGCAAATTCACACACCACCAAATTCACAACTTGTGTTTTGAGAAAACACAGTAAAGGCGACGGGGAGAGCTTGGCGAAAACTGGGCGGAGCTTGCGCGCGGAAACTGCTAGGGCGGCAGTCGCGAAATTGTGTTTTAAACTTGAATACGTAGAAAAGAGAGAGATTATTCTGCTTCCGAGACTATCGCTGCTTGTCTCATTAATTGCATAGGCTACTATTCTGCCTCCCGAGGTTTAAGGTCTAGCCTCCGTGTTGCATGGCTGAAATACGCCACCATGGCCGCTCCTTGTCCGCCACGGTGAAAAGTTCTCCGCACATTATCTGGAATAGTTGCAACGGTGATGATGATCGCCACCTCGTCATTTAAATCTGGCATCGCTGAAATACGCCATCTTTTATTTATTAGCTTGTCATCGGCTGAAATGAATCGCCACCTCTTAAGATCATGCAAGGCTGAAATATCTCTTTAATTTCCTCCAGAGTGGCTGAAAAGGCGACCTCTCTGTCAGTAAATCGTCAACTCCAAGGGAGGGCATCAATTTGTTCAGAGGCACCAGTTTGAGTAGCGGCCGAGAACGGGTATGCCGATGGGCCCTGAGGACCGCCGGAGTTTCTCTGGCTGCATAGCATTATTTCAAAGGCATGCCATGGTTTCGGAGGCATCATTCCCCATGCTCGAGAACATCATTTCATAAGCCTGCGATGCCTTTATTATATGTTCATGGCCCAGGATCAGGACATCGATCGGGTCCGAGGACGTCATCCTAACGCGTCCAAGACAACATTCATGGTCCAGACGGGAACTGGCGGCGATCACGTTATAATTTAATGCACAGATATAGATCGGCTCGTGTGGTTTATTTCGCAGGTAAATAGGCTGGCTAGCAACGCCGGCTCATTTTGCGGCAATCCCGCTTTTCCAAGTTTAAAGGGAACACGCCATCCGCAAGCTTTAGACTTTGACCGTTCCTTCCCAACCCAATTATCTCGTCCGTTCTTCTTGAAAATCTTCCAATGGCATTTGTTCTCGATGGATCCCGAACTACACTACAGCCTGATTCTTTGTAAACCAAGGGATATGTAGGTGGGCTTCAGGAACCAAGCTTCGGTCAAATTCTTCAATTGTTTCGTTCGGTCAAAATTGGGCCATCATATCTTTACCCGACAACTCTTTCCATGCTTCCCGGGTAAGAGGGGCAAGCTGTTGAATACCATTTTTTCCCTACGTAATTTTTTTTCATATACAAATACTTTCAAAAATAACACACACCACACACACACAACACATATATATGATTATATAGTTATGTATGTATATTATATATATATATATTTATATATATATATATAATATTATTATATATATATATTGCATAATATAAGCATGCCCAAGTGTTTTGGTATTTTTCATAAATTTAAAGATTTTTAAATCAATTTATTGTCCATTTTAGCAATAGCAAAAACAGTAACTATTCCCAAAACTATCAAACCTTGGTGAATAGTTTTATTTTCATTTCTCATACTTACACAAAATATAGTTAAGGGTGAATTTTGTATATTTTTAAATTTTTATTGGTATTTTTTAAAAGCCAAATACATACAATTTGCAATTTTTAAGGCTATTTTAGGATATAATAGCAATTTCTATATATATAAATCGGTTCCAGTATTTTTTAATTAACAATTATATATTACATAATTAAGTTCAGTGCTTTTTAATTTTGTTTTTAAAAAATCATTTTAACTATTTTTTTATAAATAAAAAGGGTAAAACTGGCTATTTAACAATTTAGCCTCATTTTATTCAATTCACCTCTTTTAACATTTCAATTTTAAACCCTTAATTGACCCAATCTCAACCCTCAACGGACCCGGCCCATTTTTTTAATCTGACCCAAATCCATAACCACAATTCAAATGACCCTACCCGGTTCCCACCTACCCCTTTTAGATTAGCGCTGATCGTTAGACAGATCAACGGCCATAAATCCCCCTTACCATTTTAACCCCAAATGACCTACCAATTCGAGTCAATTCCCATTCCCTACTTCTCAGCCGCCTCTGAAATCCCAATCTCTCTCAAAACTCTCTCAAGGCTCTCCGGAAACCCTAGCCTTCTCTACCTCCTTTTTCAGACGCCTGTCCCAACCGAAATCCAATGGCTTCTCTAGGCATGGATAGTTAGTACTCACCTACCTTCAACATATGTTTTGGTCTTCCATGTTTTTTCGAACTTCGAGACGTGAACCGGTCGATGGATTCCCTCTCCGATCTTCTCATACTTTGATTCCATGGCTTCTCGGCATGCTTCGGCATATTCAAGACTCAGGAGCCTTATTCCTGACCTCTCCGACTCAAGATCGGACCTTCTTCCAAGCCTTTCTCATTTCTAGGGTTTCTCCGAAACCCTAAGGCTATTCGAGGTTCTTTCCGTGTTGTTTGCTTAGATCTATGCTGTATCTATGCTTTCACTTGACATTTAAAGTGTTTTTCCCCAAAAGTTCTTTTCAAAATCGTTCGTCTTTCGATTTTAGGTTTCTGAAAGAATTTTTCCAAAAATCTTTTTGATTTTTTTTTTTTCTTCTCTTTGCTTTATGTGTGTTGTCTATGTCATGCTCGTGTGATTTCTTTTGCTACGCATGTACTGTCTGTCTACTTTTCTTTTTTCTACTATACATGTTACTCCTATGTTTAATCCTGATATGTTTTCTTTGCTCTTTTACTATATGTGTTTACCGTTGAGATTCTTTGATTTTTGTCTACTAAACTCTGTTTGTATTCTTGCTAAAACATGCTTCATCTGCTTTTGTTTAAGTTTGTATCATCTCTTTCTTCTGAACTCGTTTAAGGTCCGAGTTTTCTCAAATATGTTCTTCTGATCTTGAATCAACTTTCTTACTTTTGTTGTTCAAACATGCTCCATATCTATTTTGTTGAGGCTCTGAAAAAAACCTTTGAGTCTGTTTCAATGGCTTGCTTTCTCACCTTTATGTCTGATTCAGTTGAAACCCCAAGGATTTGGGGGTTCCCCTTGGCGATTTTGATTTTGTGTTCGAGTTAGGGTTCCACTTTGGGACCTCTGGACTCTCAGACTCATTGTGAGTCTGCAATTGGACTCGTATCCTCTTGCTTACGATTCTGAACCCTTTCAATGTTAGAACTATTTTTCTAAGTAACATGACGATTCTTTTTATTTGATTTGTCTGTTTAATATATGAAGAAGTTCTTCTTTCAAAAGGGTTTTTGACAACTACTATTGATATTCTAATTCCTTTAATGGTGGTTTACTTTGATTGTTACTGATTTCCTTAAATTAACCTTTCTTTACCACTTTCCTGAACTTGATTCATTCGAGTAAAAGCCTTGTAAACTTAGATTTTACTAGTTGTTTGGAATTGATTCCCTTTCCTTATTTCCACACAAAACCGTTTTACCAATTGGGTTGTTGCCTAAATAAACCTGCTATGTATTTACCCTTTTATTGTACTGCTCTGGGAAAATATTTTTTAAATTCCTTTCCTTAATTGTTTTTAACCCTTAAAATCAGAATCCCTTAACTTAAACGGGAGATTGATTACAATGTTATTTCCTTACCTTGTTCTTTACTTGTTTGTTGCATTATTAAAGGGGCTCGACCCTTCAGCAACTAAACAACTTTGAACTTTTGAATCCTAAAAGTTCAGATACTCAGTAACTCTCACACGCAATACTCCTCATCACAATAACTCTTCTAATTCTCTATCTCTTCTTTGATGACTTTTGTACTGCTTTGCTTGCAACTTGGCTTTTTTAAAGACTTACTGTGTTTACTTATTTGTTTTCCCTGAAACTGGTTAATGTCTCGATTTTGACTTTCAGCTTCTTCCCTATGTGTTTATTTTACAGTTCACTACCAACTCTTGGCATACTTTGCTGCTTTATGTTCTGTATTAAATATGTTACTTCTTTTTATGTTTACTGTTTGTTATAAATTCCCCATACCCCCACTCTCCTTCTATTGTGCTTGAGTTAAAAGTTCATGCCTTGGCAGTATCCAATACTGCCCAGGTCCTAAACACTGACCTCAATGGGTCCTAACTCCAAATCTTAGCTAACAGCTGGTCAGGGTGTGCCGGCATTCCTAATTGCGGGCATGACCACTAGCCTGTCATGGCCTTCCCTAGACTTCCCTCTATTGCACTTACCACTTACTCTTAGACTCTAAGTTCCTGCCCCCCTCCTATGAGCCTTGCCTTGGGGGACCTTGAGTTCCTATGAATTGGAAACATTTGAGGGCTTGGCTCTTTCCACACTGCACTATAATCTGATCCTGAATGTATCTGGGTGTAAGCACTGCTGGAGTTTATGAAGCTCCTTGACTTTGACACACCCAAAGATGAGAAAGGCTTTGGAAAATCTGATCTTTGGAAGTTGGTTTATTTAAATATTTCAGACCTAGGAGTCTAAATTAGGCTCTCCTTGGTTTAGAATTTTTTCTGATGTAATTTTCTTACTTTTTTCTGGATTCATTCAAGTTGTAATTTAATTCTTGTAATAACTTTATGGGGTGTATAGTAAAAAGGGGGGGTCTATCATGTTTATGCATATGGGGTAGATATCATGTTTTGAAGGTCTTTTACTTCTTCAATACAACCTTTTGTTTATTGTATCTGGCATATAGAGATCTGCCTATATAATTGTTTCATTACTGCATATAGAGATCCTGCCTATTAAGTTGTTTCACTACTGCATAATAAAAATCCTTCCTATAAGTTATGCATTCATTAGAAAATCATGTATATAAATGTTTCTGCATTCCTACATTTAGAGGGACATGTCTATAAGTTTCTGCATTACCCCATTGAGACCATGCCTATTAAGTGTCTGCATTTCCGCATTATAGG